TATTTGCCGTTCTTGCCGAGCTCCAGCGCCCACGCAACATGACTTTAGACAAGTCGCCCGACAGCAGGAACTCATGCGTGGCACCTCCGCGCCTCAGGCTGTAAGGAGACAGGGCGAGGTGCTTGCAACCGATCTGCTGGAGCCCAATACGGAACAAGTCGTGAAAGGCGCGCGTCGTGCCACGCCAGAGCCGGCTGTCACGCTGGAGCTGCATATGGACGACTGCCCCAACCAGCGGGTCGTCAAGCGTGACTTGCTCCCGCGTGCCCTTCTGGCAAGAGGTCTTGGTCCAGGGCAACGACACCACGCCTCGGCCACAGGGCTTCAGAAAGATGACGCCGCCGCTCAGTCCCAACGCCTCGCCAGTGCGGAGACAAAGATGGAAGGCCACGAGCAGCGCGGCCGCGAAGGCCACCTCTCCGCGGCTGAGCGCCGAACCGGCGAGCGCCGTGCAGACCTGGGCAGGCATCGGCGGCGCGCGCTGAGGGATCCCCAGTCTGCCCCAGACTGTCAGCAGCTGCCAAGCGCCAGGATAGCGGCGTCGTGTCCTCAGCAGGTGCTGCACGCCGCTGAGGGTGTCATTGGCTTCTCCTTTTGTGGCGCCCTCGGCCCACAAGTGCTCAAGATAATCTTGCAGGCAGATATCAATATCGCCCCAGGTGAAAGGCAGCGGCAGGTTATTGGCAGCAAGGTAGTCAACAAAACGCTGAGCGGCGCCACGGTAGTGGGCCAGTGTCGAGGCCTTTTATCCTGGCGCCCCTCAGCTTCCCCAGTCCAGCTCTGGCGGCGCGGCGGTCAGCAGGGCTACTCCGCTTCTTACCCATCGCGGAGACGCGAGGGGGCGTCCGCGGGGTTGCGAGCCGACGACGTGAAGCCGAAGACCGCCCGCGCGCCCATCGCAAGCTCCCACGCCGAGAAGGTCCGCACCACCTTGTTGAGCTGAGGACTGCTGGAACGGTGCTTGGACAGCGCACCGATGTTGACCATGCTGTCGAGCAGGTGCAGGAAGACGCACTGATGGCGGCGCACCGACCGCGCCCGCCATCGAATCATCATCAGCGCGCCCTGGCACTCAAGAACGTTGATGTGCTCTGCTGCATCCCACACTAGATGCCTTGCCTTGCGCCACCGCCAAATGCCTGAGTCGATCTCCTGCCGCGGGAAGATCTTGCCGAGCGCCTCCGAGGCGCCATCGGTCCTGATGTCTGCTCCGTTGTTGTGGCACGCCATGACGAGCCCCATGACGATGCGTCTGGACGCGTCCAGCTCGCGTCACTCCACCACGTCACGCTTCGCCAACTCCGCCAAGAGGATGTCGGCATGGCACGCCTGGTCGGGCCCACAGTGACAGACCAGTAGGGCCCCGCGCAGCGTCTCCAAGCTCTGCAGGAGGGTGGGCTGCGTGCGGATCCAACCAGCGAACAGGGCAACAGCGTCCTCGCGTGACCGCTCGGGGCTGATCGTGAAAGGGTTGCCCCACCGCGAGGCAGCCAGCCCCCAGCGGCGAGACCCACGACCCACGTAGATGGGCCCGCCAGCCTGGTCCAGCCTGGCGCGCAGGCCCTCGTCGATCTCGGAGCGACCGCACCGCAGCGACGTCACGTCGCCGGCCCACAGCTTCCTGCCACCAGCCCAGGCTCGCGCGCTCTCGTGCAGCTCACCCAGCGAGGGCACCGAGACCAGCAGCCCAGCTCCGACGGCCCAGTGGCTGATGATCCAGGCCACGACCTCGCACTGGAAGGAGTTGCCCACGAGCGACCGCCGAAGAGCCTCGTACTTGGCGGGCTCGGCCTTCGCCTGGCTGCTCGTCATGCACGGCACGGTGTGGCCCTCCGGGAAGCCCATCAGCTTCTCTCGTATGGTCGCGTCAGGCGGCTCCACGCGGCCATCCGCCTGGTGGATGCACCACTTGTCACGGAACTGGTAGGGCGGCGAAGCGAAGCCCGCCGCCTCCCAGCGCGCCAGCTCAGCAGCGCTGCACCCCCCAATGCCCGCAGGCCTGGGGCGCGGCTGCGAGCGCGGCGTCCAGCGCACGAAGGTCGGGAGCGGCTCCCCTGCAGCAGGACCCGGACACACAGCCCCGGGCGGGAGCCACTCCTCGAGCGGCGGCCGCTCCGCCTTCAGCGCCACCTTGCAGGCGCGCCGAACGTCCTGGGTCTTCGCCCGCACCACGACGGGCTCAGCCTCGAAGGACGGCAGGAGGTCCCACGAAGCCCAGTAGAGCCGCGGACGTCTGACCCAGCCGACACCCCCCGCTTCAATCTCCAGCGGGATGCGGCCGAAGAGCTGGTTCAGGCGCAGCACGTCGCACTCGGGCATCGACGCGACGTTCTCCCCGAGGAAGTCGATCGACGCCTCCGGCATGGCCGTCCGCAGCCCGTCCACGATCCGCACCATGTGGTCAACCAGGCCCGCGCGCGGGTCGTCGAGACCCTGCCGAGCGACGTTGAGACCCGCGAAGACCTGGCACGGGAAGCCGCCCACCACCGGCACACGCGACACCCGGCCTCGGGAGCGCAGCAGGGCTGCCAGGGCCACCGGGTCCGCCTCCGTCACGTCCCCCAGGTGCTGCGTGCTGGGGTAGCTGCGCCGGGCCACCCGCACCGCCGTGGGGTCAACCTCGAATGACAGGTGCACGGCAGGGACCAGTCCGAGGATCTCGAAAGCCCGGCGCCCACCGCCGATGCCGTCGAAGACAGTCACGAGGGCGGTCTCCTCCTCGCAGGCGGCGTTCGCGGGCCGCTGCCGCCTCTCGGCCAGCGCGCGCCCGCGGTCGGAGAGGGCGTAGCCGTAGACCACGGCGCCAGCGGCCTCCGAGGCATCCGACGCGGTCGCCAGGGGGTCGACCTCGAGGCGCAGGTCAGCGACGCAAAGCCCTGACAGCGCAAGGCACATCAAGAGGTCCTCGACCACGCTCACGCTGAAGCGGCCGCCAGTGCGCGGGTTCCCGAGCCACTTCCAGGTGTAGGCAAAGCTGGCCGCCAGCGGCCGCCGAAAGCAGTGCACACGAACACAGCGGCCCAGCAGAATGCGCACCAGCCGCATGCTGGCCCGCTTCTTGCTCAGCGTCCACAGCGCGAGGCTGGCCATCTCGGCAAGGTAACCCGCAGGGGGGCGCCGCACGCCCTCGACCCCGTCGATGAGCTCCCCCAAGGTTGTCGCTCGAGGCACTCGATGGATGTCCTTGGACGGCGACCCCGGGGAGCCCGCAGCCGCATAGCAGGCGCGAGCCTCGGAGATGAGCTCGGGCACCGTCCCTCGCAACGTCGCGGCCTCGGACTTGCTCGCGACCTCCGCGACCCCCAGGTTGTCAATGTAGACCATCCACGCCGGAGGGCACGGCTTCTCCACGCTGAACAGCAGCCGTCGGCGCCGAGTGATCTCCTGGCTGGGCGGCAGGCCGCGAGGGACAGAGGCGCTCCGCCGCAGCATGTTCCGGTGGAGGTGGGTCGTCACGCCCGCGGCACTGATCCAGCCCATGCCGATCACCCGCAGGCAGATGTGCGTGGCCCCACCGTCCTTCAGGCCAAGCAACTCCGAGGGGGCGGGCGGCCCTATCACCATGTAAGGCCACCACGCAGGCGGCGCGCGGAAGACGTAGAAGAAGGCCTTTCTGTCCGCGCCGCTCCACAGGGGATCCTCCGACTCGGTCAGCACCAGGCCGTTCAGCTGGCTCATGGTCGGCATCTCAGGGGTGTCTCCCACGATGCACTCCTGGCACGCGTTCGAGGGGATGAGGTTGGTGATCGGCCTCAGGACCGCCCTGCGCTCGCCGTCGCTGCAGACCACGGGCTCGTCGCGGGGCTCGGGCACCCCGAACGCCCCGTTCAGGAGCGGGGCTCCGTCGCGACAGGCAATCTCGCTGCTCGGGATCGCCGACGCCATCCCGCGCTCGTGGAGCGCCCGCACGATCCGATGCCACTCCTCGAGCGAGGCCCACACGCGCGCAGATGTCGGCGCGGGCCGCCGCAGGGCAGCGGGCAGCAGCACCAACGTCGGGTCCAGGAGGGCCTCACGCACGAACCCCGTCGCGAGGTCGGCCGCCTCGATGGAGGCCGCGACGCCCGGCGGCGGCAGCCCGTCCAGCACCTGCTCCAGCGTCAGCCGATGCGGGGCCGAGATCTCGTCCCCGCCGTAGCCGATCTTGCGGTCCTTCAGCCGCACGTTCCAGTCAAGATCTGGCGGTAGAGCAGATTCGGCCCGCGTAGCCAAGAGGAGGCGGCGGCCGAGAGCGACCAGGGCTGCCTGCTGCGCGGCGTTGGCTCGACCTCGGCAGAGCCTGGCCAGCTTCAGGGAGCGGAACCCAGACTCCCAGTTTAGCGCCAGGACAGTGACCACCAGCCTGCAGCGTAGTCCTTCCCACTCCTTGTCGCTCAAAGGGCCCTCGCCCTGACGGACGATCTGGGACCTGTTGATCGAAGGGTATGGTAACGGCAACAGATCTCGCTGAAGCCGACCTCCCATGTCGGCCGGATGCTCGCGTGGCTTTACCTCGAGGGAATATCTAGTGAAGCGACCGAAGGAGCCTGGGAACTGGCGGACTATGTTCAACAACACGGGGCCCACGTCAAAAGGTTCTCGCAGAAGATCACTCGCCGCGCCAGCCCATTCGCGCCACTCTGCCAGCGGATCACCGTCACAGTCGGCATCCGTGCCACAGGCCGGCGGGCACGACGAGGACGCTGGGCGGCGAGAGGCGGCAGCACCACCACGGTCAGGAGCCAATCTCGGAGGCGGCGAGCGCGACGGTGAAGTCCAGGGCGGTCTGCGCGAGCGGGCAACCTCGGCAAACTCGGTCGCACTCGCACGCGCATCATCAGCGCTGGCACCATCAGCTCGCTGCCTCACCTCAGCGTCGCAGGAAGGCCGCCTCGGCCCCGGCCCCGGCGCTTCCTGCCGCCACGGCGGCGGCCGCTCGGGGGGGCCGGGCCTCGCGGCGGACCTTGCTGCAGGCCCGCTGCCGCCGCAGCCGCGGGCTGGTCCTGCCTGAAGACGTGGCGCTCCGGGCTCGTCGCCAGCGAGACACGCCTCGGCCCGTCCGCCGCCCTCGGGCGCGGGCTGTCGCCTCGAGGCGTCCTCAGCGCCCCTGGAGACGGCGACCTGCCCGCGCTGCCTGAGCGCGCTGCGCCTGGCGGACCCGCGGGCGGGGCTGCGGCTGCGGGCCCTGCCCAAGGCCGCGCTGGGCTCCCCGCCCGCAGGGGGAAGAAGCCGCCTCGGCTGCGCCCGCGGCTCTTCCCGCGACCACGGCCCTGCTGGCGGCTCGGCGAGGGCGAGTGGGCTCCGCCGCTCCCGCGCCTCGCCTCCTCGGGTCAGGCTTGTCGCTCGCCCTGACCCTTGCCGCCGAGGCCGCCGCGGCTCTTCGCGTCCATCAGCTTCCTGCGCAGCAGTGCCGCCCGCCGCGCCAGGTCCTGCTCGCCCATCGAGGCCAGCGAGGGCCGCGCGTTCGGCGCGATCTCCAGCTCGCTCGCTACCTGCCAGCTCGCGTCGGACAGCGACAGCTCCAGAGCCTTGAAGCGCTGCATCAACACGTCGCTCAACTCCGCCAGGCACCCACTCTCCAGCAGGTCCAGCGCGGTCGCCAGCGTCTGCAGCTCCCGCTGAGCGTTGATCCGCATCTGCCCTGGAGGGTGATGGCCGAACACCACGGCCTGCAGGTAGCCCACGACCTTCGCTCGAACCTCTGAGCCGTCCGCCCCCTCCCGCAGGCCCATGACGCGCCCGATGTTCTTCGGTCGTACAGGGCACCTGGGCGCTTCTCCGCCAGCAGCCGTACGCTGCCGCCGCGGGAGGGGGCCTCGCGAAAACGCGACTCACCGTCGTCGTCGCTGCGCGAGGCCGAGGAGCTCCGGGGGTGGCGGCGGCCGCGACCGCCACCAGCGCGACCAGGCGCCGCCGCAGCAGCCTGCGCGCGCGCCGCGGCAGCTGCCGCCAGGCGGTCGGGGGCCGCGCCCCCGGCTGGGGCGCTCCCCGCCAAGGCGCCGCCGCCGCCGCGCCCACCGAAGGCGCTCGGCCGCGCCCACGGCTCCACGAACCCGCGGTTCGAGCGCAGCCGCAGCCACTCGACATGCAGGACTCCTCGGCCTGGCACAGCGGGGTCCCCGCACAGCGCCGGCCCCTGCCCGCACAAGTGCAGGAGGCCCGCAGGCCCAGTGCCGCGCGGTGGGAAAAGGCCGCCCAGCCGCATCGCCTCGGCCGCCAGCGAAGCCCCCCTGAACTGGGCGCTCAGGTACTGCCCTGAGGGGCCCGTGGTGCCGATCTCCTCTACCTCGAAGAGGGCCGTCCCGCTGATGCCTCCAGCTGCGTCGATGGTCGGGAGCTCGAGATTCACCCCTCGGCGCCAGTCGGCGCCAATCAGAGTCACGGCCTGACGCCACGGACCGTCCACGAGTGGTCCCAGCTGCGCGCCGCCCGCTGGGGCGATGGGACCGCCAGCCACCGCGATCGGCACACCAGGGATCGCCGGGGCCCCAGGCACCGCACCAGGAGGAGGGCCTCCAGGAGGGCCGCCGCCGCCGCCCGCGAGCGCGCCCACCAGCGCGGCGCCCACGCCGCCGGGGGGAGCACCTCCGCCGTCAGGCACGGCGCCGCCCGCCGGGGGCGCCCCAGCAGCCCCGCCGCCTCCGAAGCCCGGCAGGCCGGGCAGCGCCGCCAGGCCAGGCACCACGGGCGCGCCGGCACCGCCGCCCGCGGGCGCGGCCGCCGCGGCGCCGCCGACCGCCGCGGCCGCCGCCAGGCCCGGGGCAACAGGCGGGAAGGCGGCGGCACCTCCGCCTCTCCCCGCGGCTCCTCGCCCGAGGCCGCCGGCGCCGCGCCCTCGGCCGCGGGCGCGTCCTCGGCCCAAGGCCTTCGCCTTAGCCTTAGCCTTGGCTTTGCCCTTGGCGACGGCCTTCGCCTTCGGCGCCATCGAGCCCCAGGCCGGCGAGCGCGGAGAGCAGCGCGCCCAGGAGCCGGGCGGAGTCGAGCAGCGCCGCCCTCTCCTCCACGCTGAGGCGGGCGCGCCACGCCGCCTGCCGAATCAGACCGATGATGTAGCACAGCTCGCAGACCTCCAGGAGGGACCCGCCCTCGGCCAGGGCCAGCGACTCCCCTCGCCCGAGGGGTCCCGCGCACCACCCGCAGTATCGCACGGGCGAAGGGCGCGGCACGGTGGTCCCGGGGGCGTCCATGCCCTCCCTGGAGGGCGCGGAACCAGCCAGAACAGCTGCCATGCAAGCGAATGCGGCCGATGTGACACGCTACCCCCCTGACGCCCACACATCGACCGTAAACGTATACATATATATATATATATATATATATATATATATGCATATTCCCTCTGGAGTATGTTTGTTTTGTATATGTGTATATGTGTACACATGTAGATCTGTGGACATGAGTATACATACATACATACATACACACCTCCACACATATAAACAATCAACCAAATAACCATACATACATGTGTACATACATACATACCTGCATGCGTGCATCCACATATACATACATCCAGGCAACCATACACACACACATATATATATATATATATATATATATATATCTGTATATATATATATATACATAATCATACCCATATACATATACTTACACCTATGCACCTACGTATATAAATATGTACCTAGACGTATATACATATATAGTATATATATGTATCGATCGGTCGATGCATAGATCCGCTACCGTGTCTGCACGGAGTGGGCATGTGATAATGCTCGCCTGTTGTCTGGAAGGTTCCGTAGTGCTTCCAGGGGCCACCCCACCCCGCTCCTCGCGCGCACCCCTGAAAAAAACAGTCCCCCCCTGGATGTGCTGTTCAGCGCTCCTGTTCAGCCTCCAGACGGCGAAGAAGATGGCTCTCAAGACTGCGCCCAAGACAGCCAAACTGGCACCAAGACTGCCCATGATGGTCGAAGACGGCATAAGAGGCCCCCGAACGGCATCAAGAAGGCTCGAGAGGCGTTTCAGGATTTGGGGGTTCTCACCTGTCTACGTTTCCGACCGCCCCAGGCGGCCCAAGAGGCCTTCAAGATAGCTCCAAGACAGCCCACGAGGCTCACAAAGAGGGCCCTACGTCGGCCCAAGAGGACCCCAAGATCGCCCAAGAGCCTCCCAAGAGGGCCCCCAGACAGCCCTACAATGACCCACGAGGGCACCAGGATGGCCCAGAGAGGCCGCCAAGACGGCCTGCGAAGGCGTCAGGCGGGCCGACAGCCCCCTAAGACGGCCCAAAAGGCCCCACGAGGCGCCCAAAAGGCCCCCAAGAGGCCCCCACGAGGCCCCCAAGAGGCCACCAGGAGTCTCGCAGGAGGCCCCAAAGAGAGCCCCGAAGAGGTCTTCTCCTGCTTGCCTTCATGCTCTCCCATTCCTCCTCCTCAGCATCATCCTCGTCATCCGCCTCCCTACCGGGAGGAGAAACATGACAAAGAAGGATAATCAATAACAGGTGTGTCAGGACGATGATGGACAACAAAAAAGGGAGTTATCGCTAAAGCTTCTACTTTACGGTCCTGCCCGTCCATCTGCATGCCAAACTGCCAAGACAAAGGTGCATGGCGCGAAGCGGCAATGAAGTCGTGTGTGAAAACATGTGTATAGGTATATGTACGGGCATGTGTGTATGTATGTATGTATGTATGTGTGTATGTATGTATGCATGCATGTATGCATGTATGTATGTATGTATGTATGTATGTATGTATGCATGCATGCATGCATGCATGCATGTATGTATGTATGTATGTATGTATGTGCGTGTGTGTGTATGTCTGTATGTAAGTATGCATGCATGCATGCATGCATGCATGCATGTATGTATGTATGTATGTATGTGTGTGTATGTATGTGTGTATGCAGGTGTGTATGTGTATGCGTATGCATGTATGTATGGATGTACATGTGCATGCATGCATGCATGCATGCATGCATGCATGCATGCATGTATATATGTGCTGCTGCATGCATGTGTGATTGTATAAATGTGTGTACATAAGAATTTGAGTACGTATGCATGTATGATTGTATGTGTGCATGCGTGCGTGCGAATACATGTATGTATACATGCATGTATGTATGCATGCATGCATGTGTGTATCTGTGTATGTGTGTATATATGTGTGTAGAAATGTCAATGTGTGTGGATGTGTATATATATATATGCTTGCATGTATGCATATGTGTATGTGTGGATGTGTATGTGTGTACGTGTATATGTGTGTATGTGTATGTTTGTATGTGTGTATGTGTGTATGTGTGTATGTGTGTATGTGTGTATGTGTATGCGCGTGTGCATGTGAACGTGTGTATGTGTATGTACGTATGTATATATGTATATATTATATATATGTATATATTATATGTATGTATGTCTGTCTGCCTGTATGCCTGTCTGTCTATATGTCTGTCTGCCTCTCTGTATGTATGTACACACATCTGTAAACACATGCATACAATCATATGTTTCTATGTCGGCTTATCCATTCGCGTATCGCTATTCACTGCAGCGCGCGGATCCCTCGCAGTGTCCCGCGCCCGCACTCCCCGTCGACGACCCTCGACACCCAACCCCCCGTGAGCCCCGAACCCACGACCAGAAAGGGCGCACGGCTCCTGTGCACGACGAAGGCAGGCTGCGCGCCCAACACACGCCGCAGGAAGCAGCGGATCGCGATGCCATGGCTGAAGATGGCGACCATCGGGCAACGCCAGGGAGGGTCACCGCAGAGGGGGTCGCCACCTCCACGAAAAAACCCTGAGATCTGGGCGTCGCAGTATTTTCACACCGGGCACTTTCGCCCGGTTTCGGGCCCTGGGACCCTCACAGACCGATTCAGCTCGAAAAAATGCCGCCGAAAGATAGGGTCTAGGGCGCCGGCCGTGACTTTTCGCGATGATGTGATTTGTACCCAACGTCGGATTTCGGGGAAACAGGTCCCCCCGCGCGCTAGGGGAAGGGGGCTAAACGCCAACACAAGAAATCCGCGCGGACCTACGAAGGCTTACGATCACGCAGCTGTTTCTTATTCAAGATCCTCGACTTCGAGGAGGACGTGGCGACACACCCCTCTGGGGGCGCTTACCGCGCCTCGGAACCGTCAAAGAACGACTCCGGATGAGCATGATACTGCTCCCAAGTGCTATAGGCAGACGGCCTCGACAGCCTTCCTCTGCAGGATTGCATCCTAGATCCCAAACATGCCCCCGAGAGGCCTCCAAGAGGCCCGTACGAGGCCCACTCCATGCAAAAAAAACGCCCTCGCCCCAAAGGCGGAAGGATGGCCGCGGCAACCGCCCATGGGCGCCGAGGCTCGATGGCGGCAGCACGCCTGCGGAGCCCCCGTGCTGGGGCCTGCTGATGCGTGAATGCCCAACGTGGGTACGATCAAAAAATCCATAAACCTCGATCCTCAAACCTCGTTCCTCCTCCTCCTCCTCCTCCTCCTCCTCTCCTCCTCCTCCTCCTCCTCTTCCTCCTCGATTCTCCTCCTCCTCCTCCTCCTCCTCCTCCTCCTCCTTCCCCCTCCTCCTCCTCCTCCTCCTCCTCCTCCTCCTATCCTGATTCCTTATTAGAATATACTCCTACTCCCCCCTCAGGCCGGCAGATAGCGGGCGCATCCGGGTGGTCCCATCCTAACCTGTAAAAAACAATACAAAATCAACATGCTTCTTATTTTTTCCTCTCGACATGGACGTCCTGTCGTCCACGGCGATAATCCATTGCAAAAAATACCACAAAGAGCACACGCGCGCGTTCATGTCAGAATCCTACCGAACACCGTGTGTTTGCAAGCATTTCAACATAAAAACATCAAAAACCCAATGCTTTTTCACAAAAATTGTACAAATTTCCCGCCCGGGCTCTCTTGCTGAAATCATAGGAAAACCATAGGAATCTTAAGAATTCTGTCAAATCCAGCGATTTCACGTCATCGCGCGGTGCACTCGCGATGCTCTGTCATGCACCCAGGCCGCGAATCCTGTGCAAAAAATACCACAAAGAGCACACTCGCGCGTTCATGTCAGAATCCTACCGAACACCGTGTGTTTGCAAGCATTTCAACATAAAAACATCAAAAACCCAATGCTTTTTCACAAAAATGCTTTGGGGTGTCCTGTCAGACCGTCGGGCTTCCTCCGGCCACCTCTGGCTTCCTGCGGTGTACCGGGCCATTCTCGACTCGTCTGGCAATGCGTGCGCGGCATTCAACACGCGCTCGCCAGTTCCCGTCGGCAACCGCCATCGCGGCCGCATCAGCTGTACCAAACCGGCTGGCCGGTGTGACTTCGGCCCCCAGTTGTGCCAGCTTTGCTTCTTATGTTGTGGGAGGGCGGGTGGGACTGGGCATGCCATGCTTGACTCGCTCGAGCTGGCTAGCTTGACTCCTACTCCTACTCCTACTCCTATCCTTATTCCTTATTAGAATATACTCCTACTCCCCCCTCAGGCCGGCAGATAGGGGCCGCATCCGGGTGGTCCCATCCTAACCTGTAAAAAACAATACAAAATCAACATTTTTCTTATTTTTTCCTCTCGACATGGACGTCCTGTCGTCCACGGCGATAATCCATTGCAAAAAATACCACAAAGAGCACACGCGCGCGTTCATGTCAGAATCCTACCGAACACCGTGTGTTTGCAAGCATTTCAACATAAAAACATCAAAAACCCAATGCTTTTTCACAAAAATTGTACAAATTTCCCGCCCGGGCTCTCTTGCTGAAATCATAGGAAAACCATAGGAATCTTAAGAATTCTGTCAAATCCAGCGATTTCACGTCATCGCGCGGTGCACTCGCGATGCTCTGTCATGCACCCAGGCCGCGAATCCTGTGCAAAAAATACCACAAAGAGCACACTCGCGCGTTCATGTCAGAATCCTACCGAACACCGTGTGTTTGCAAGCATTTCAACATAAAAACATCAAAAACCCAATGCTTTTTCACAAAAATGCTTTGGGGTGTCCTGTCAGACCGTCGGGCTTCCTCCGGCCACCTCTGGCTTCCTGCGGTGTACCGGGCCATTCTCGACTCGTCTGGCAATGCGTGCGCGGCATTCAACACGCGCTCGCCAGTTCCCGTCGGCAACCGCCATCGCGGCCGCATCAGCTGTACCAAACCGGCTGGCCGGTGTGACTTCGGCCCCCAGTTGTGCCAGCTTTGCTTCTTATGTTGTGGGAGGGCGGGTGGGACTGGGCATGCCATGCTTGACTCGCTCGAGCTGGCTAGCTTGACTCCTATCCTTATTCCTTATTAGAATATACTCCTACTCCCCCCTCAGGCCGGCCATTAGGGGCCGCATCCGGGTGGTCCCATCCTAACCTGTAAAAAACAATACAAAATCAACATTTTTCTTATTTTTTCCTCTCGACATGGACGTCTTGTCGTCCACGGCGATAATCCATTGCAAAAAATACCACAAAGAGCACACGCGCGCGTTCATGTCAGAATCCTACCGAACACCGTGTGTTTGCAAGCATTTCAACATAAAAACATCAAAAACCCAATGTTTTTTCACAAAAATCTACAAATTTCCTGCCCGGGCTCTCTTGCTGAAATCATAGGAAAACCATAGGAATCTTAAGAATTCTGTCAAATCCAGCGATTTCACGTCATCGCGCGGTGCACTCGCGATGCTCTGTCATGCACCCAGGCCGCGAATCCTGTGCAAAAAATACCACGCGGGCGACATGCGCGCGCGTCGCCGCGAGCGCATGCTCAAATCCTTCTAGAGTCGTCGCCGTCATTGGCACCGTCGCATGGACGTCCTGTCGTCCACGTCGCAAAATGCATAGCAGGAATGGGACGCGGCGCACACCCCGCGCCCGCCCATCCAATCCGTCCCATTCTAATCTGCAAAAGACAATACACAGTTTTTGTTTTTCTTGTCAACATGGTCGTGCTGTCGTCACGTCGCAAAATGCGTGGCAGGAATGGGACGCGGTGCACACCCCGCGCGAAGGGGTGACATGTCGCTCTCGCCTCGGCGCCGCGCACCAACGTTTTTCCTCCGCGCCCGCCCATCCAAACCCCCCCTTTTATAAAAAAGCAATACAAGTTGGGGCCTTCAGGCTTCCTGCGGTGTACCGGGCCATTCTCGACTCGTCTGGCAATGCGTGCGCGGCATTCAACACGCGCTCGCCAGTTCCCGTCGGCAACCGCCATCGCGGCCGCATCAGCTGTACCAAACCGGCTGGCCGGTGTGACTTCGGCCCCCAGTTGTGCCAGCTTTGCTTCTTATGTTGTGGGAGGGCGGGTGGGACTGGGCATGCCATGCTTGACTCGCTCGAGCTGGCTAGCTTGACTCCTACTCCTACTCCTACTCCTACTCCTACTCCTCCCAGTGGATACGATACTCAACAACTGACGTCGTCCAAAGCCGACAGCGGCCGCTGTTGGGCAGGCGGCCTTCTCTCTCGAATGGGCATCGTTCGCGGCGACACCGACGGCGAGCCCTGCTCAAAACAGACAGGGACTGCTGTCGGTCTGCGTGCCAACTCTTGCCGTGCCCAGTTTGACCGTACCGATGGTGACCCTGCAGGGTGACCCTCACCTCGGCGCTGCCCTGGATGACGTGCTCCCGGCCGCCCTCGCCCGGACGCTCCGCGGGGGGGCGCTCCAGCAGCCGCTCCACGAAAGAGACCACGCGCTCCTCCACGTCCCACTGGGACTCGCCCGCGGGGGCGCGCCCGGACGGCGGCGCGTCCTCTTGGGCCCAGGCCTCCCAAATAAGCGACAGAAATGAACGGGTCCTGCGCGAGATGACGTAGAGACCTTACGCGGTGGTTTACGTGGAGCGCCAGCGCGGCACGCCTCACGCCTCATTGGAAGCGAGGGCGCTCACGCGCGAGCTTACGCGGGCAGCTTACGCGCGAATGTCGGTGCAGTCGACCCCATTTTTATGCGTCGCTCAAAATGGGGTCCGAGTAGTGAATGCAGTCGGCGATGCGGCTCGATGCGGAGCCCGATCTTCTCCACTCCGACGGCGCCGACGCATCGGCGATTCGTCGCCGATGATTCGCCGATGCATCGGCGATGCACTGGCGATGCGGCGCGATCCCCCACACCATCTTCTCGGACCCCATTTGGGAAGCGAAGCGACGCGAAGCGAACGCTGGAGCCGTGCGCGCTCGAGAGCCTGCCCGTGCCCTTTCGGGCATGGCGAGGTGGAAATTTTGGGAGGCCTCCGTTGGGGGGACAAGGACAACTGCACGAGCGAACAAGACAAGGGAAGCTGCCAGCTGTGCGCGCGGACTTCTCGGATCGGCGCTGGGCATGGGGAAGGGGTCTACGCCTTCCGAAATGTGTAGCCAGTCCACTGGATTTGGGCGGCAGAAAGCGTCGGATGGAAGAGCGGCCGGTCGCTGACCGCCGCGCCCTGATCCTAGTTCGCGTGCGCCTCCTCGACGCCTGGCCTGATTGCGCTGCCCTTCTCTTCTCCCCCTCCGCGGCCGCCCTGTTCTTCCCCCCATTCGCTTGTGTACAATTCGCCTTGCGGCGTCCCCACGCAGGAGGCTCCGATCGCGCTGTGCGTCCGCCAGCGCCGCTTCTAGAAGTGTGTGGCGACCCTGCGGTCGGGAACTGGGGAAGGGGTCCAGACCTAGGGGGCCCACGCTGTGAAACCGTCACAACGTCGGGGGTGTGGGTTCCGCGCGGATTGCTTAGGTCGGCGTTGAATCCCCCCCTGGCGGCGCCGGAGGCGCCGCCCCTGGCGCGCTCCGCTCGCCAGGGAGGGGGTGCCCAACGCAGGCCCGAGAAGTCCGCGCGAACCTCCGAAACCTTCTGTTTATTATTCCGTGCTGTCTTCTTCGGGTCCTGCTCGGAGACGCCTGGGGGCCGGAAGAACAGCTGCTCCCGGCAGATCTGGCCCAGGACCGCAGGGGAGTACACCTCCGAGCGCCTGCGCCCCGTCCATTCGCCCTGGCACAGCTCCAGGACCTCGCGCGACTCCCGGAGGCAGCCAGGCTCGAGGCCGGCCTCCTGATAGCCACAGCAGAAGAGCACGTGGCAACGGGAACGCAGGTCAATAACGCGAGCCCCTTCGCAGGAGGAGGAGGAGGAGGAGGAGGAGGAGGCGGAGGAGGAGGAGGAGGGGGAGGAGGGAGAGGAGGAAGAGAAGGAGGAGGAAGAGGAGGAGGAGGAAAAGCAGGAGGAGGAGGAGGAGGAGGGGGAAGAGGAGGCGGGGGAAGAGGCGGAGAAGGAGTAGGAGAAGGAGGGGGAGGAAGAGGAGGAGGAGGAGGAGGAGGAGGAGGAGGAGGAGGAGGAGGAGGAGGAGGAGGAGAGCGCGAGCCCCTTCGCAGGAGGCAGAAGTCCCCGTGGAGATTCCCCAAACGGAGACCACTCCACGGCGGAGGGCCCAGGCACGAAGAGCATAAGGATACCATGCCAAAGCTAAGGGTGATCTTGCTCCTCCTTTTCCTCCTCCTCCGCCTCCTCCCCCTCCTCAGCGCCCATGGAGGCGAGGCCACGTTGGGGTCTGGGTGAGATCGGATCGCCCTCCGCTGGAGCTCCCAAGAGCTCCAGAAAGTGCCGACACGTGCGAAGCCGGCAGCGCCCAGGGAGGCGGCGCCTCGTTTGGATCTGGGTGAAGCCGAAATCCGCTGGACACCCCAGGAGCTCAAGCCATTGCCGAAATTTGCGCAGCCGGCAGCGCCAAGGCAGGCGACGCTCCGTTTGTGTATGGGTAATGCCGCACTCCGCTGGACCTCCCAGGCGCTCACGATGAGGAGGCGCCAGGCGCGAGCACGCATGCTACCTCAGAGGAAGGCAGGAGGCAGAAGGTAGGACGAGGGGAGGAAGCGGGATTCTAGGATTCGCTTGGCCTGGCGCGCACCCACGAATTGGCACGAGGTCCAGGCAGGGAAAAACCAAACAGTCCGAGACGGCGACGGCGACAACGGCACGGCGGACGACCGACGGGACGCCAGGGAGGAAGCGGGAGAGGAGATGAGATGACGGGCGCAGCAGTGCTCTATGCAAAACGAATGTCCAACACAGGAGGGTCGGGGAAATCGAATGACTTCCAACGGTCCGCGCGGAACTCTGGAAGTCTGTGATGTGCCGTCCTCCAGCGCCAGCTGCGCTGTCCTTCGTGGGGGGAAACGCATGCATATCCACGGCCCCGCGGTCTGGACTCGTCGGCGCGACCCCGTGCATACAGGGCTGCTTTGCGCAGATGCCCCCGGCGGAATGCATCCATGGGACCACAGCCCCATGGAGCCGTGATGCCATGGGATCGCGCCTCGGTGCCTGGACCTCGAAAACGATTCCGGGAACAAAAAATGGCATGCACATGAACTTTCGAAGGTCCGCGCTGATTTCCTCGATGGCGACGATGCATGACTCGGCTCTCCTCCTCCTCCTCCTCCTCCTCCTCCTTTTCCTCCTCCTCTTCCTCCTCCTCCTTGCCCCGAGGGTGGGGGCCTGGCACCTGTTCTCATGGTGTCAGCGCCACACACACATTCCTCGGGGCACACTGTCAGTGTCAATTGCATGCGGCGGCTGGGGGCAGATAAACCGGCTTTCCTCTTTCTTGCACCAGCCACGTGGCACTTTGCCCGTGGCAGCGGCGCGTTAGCTGCGCCCGTGACCTGGAGATGGGTACCAGGCACGGGGAGTGTACATTTGGTTGAGAGGAGGGGCCATGTGGTCCGTAAGTCCCTTGGGACCTTGTGTCCGCTCACCCTGGGGTACAAACCCAGTTGCACATGCCATCCGATTCGGCAGGGGTGACGGTCGGGAAGTACTGCGCGGTGACGCGGTGAACCGACTGTCCCCCTACGCACCACGCCGTCTCGATTGGGCAGCGAGTCGCTGAGCGACGAGGTCTCTGCCTTTCCCCTGACTGTCGGTGCTGGCGCCTGCGGGCCCCTTCCTCCTGTCTGGGAGGCCGAGGGTGACGGTTGAGCCTCGATCGCCGTTCGCGTCTTGGATCTATGACACTCGTGGCACTCCTCCTCCTCCTCCTCCTCCTCCTCCTCCTCCTCCTCCTCCTCCTCTTCCTCCTCCTCCTCCTCCTCCTCCTCCTCCTGCTCCTCCTCCTCCTCCTCTCGGATCGGCGCTGAACACCACTCTCCGTCGGGCGGAGCGCGCCAGGGGCGGCGCCAGAGGCGCCGCCAGGGGCCTATCCGAGAACTTCGCGCGGACCTCTAAGACTTGTTATGCTTGTGCCATGGTTTGCTCCGCGAGCTATGGTCGGCGGCAACCCCGGAGGGGAAGGGAGATGGGGCAGGCCTTCTCAGAAGGCGGCGGGGCTTCTCAGAAGCCCACGTGCCTTCCGCGAAGTGTCCTGTGCCTTCGGGGAAGGCTTCGTACTCTCGTCAGGCCCGAGGCCTTCTGAGCCTTCTGAGCAGGCCCGCCCCCTTCTCACTTCCCCACGGGCTCGCCACCTACACGGATATGTCCACCGCTCGTAAGTCCTGCGCGCCCTCTCCGCGGTGCTGGAGTAGACCTCATCCAGCTCGACGCCGGTGGCGCGCAGGCGCCTGCCCAGCGCTCTCGCCTGCTTGAATGCGAGTACACATATCCATATCCGCAGCCTCGCGGGCAGAACCCCTGGGCTGCGATCGGGGAGAAATTCATGGCACTACTCCGACGACGGACCCCGCATGATAATGTCCGTAGTGCACATGCGGATCATCATCTGCAGCACTCGCAGTATCATCGACATCATCATCATCATCATCATCATCATCATCATCATCATCATCATCATCATCATCATCGTCATCATCATCATCATCATCATCATCATCATCATCATCATCATCATCATCATCATCATCATCATCATTATCATCATCAGCATCCTCATCTGCATCATCGTCATCAGCATCATCGTCATCATCATCATCATCATCATCATCATCATCATCATCGTCATCAGGATGATCATCATCATCGTCCTCATCATCAGCAGCATCATCATCAGCAACAGCAGCAACATCACCACCAGCAGCAACAGCATCAGCAGCAGCATCAGCCATCATCAGCATCATCAGCATCATCATCAGCATCATCCCTCATCCTCATCCTCATCCTCGTCCTCATCCTCGTCCTCATCCTCATTCTCATTCTCATTAGCATATTGATCATGATAATCATCATCCTCCTCATCATCAGCATCATCATCAGCAGCAGCGTTAACATCATCATCCGCATCAACATCATCATCATCATCATCATCATCATCATCATCATCATCATCATCATCACCATCAACATCATCAGCAGCATCATCATCAGCAGCAGCATCAGCGTCAGCATCGTCGTCGTCGCCGACGACTAACGAGGGTGATGATGCCAAGATACCAGAATGCGACCTGTTGGGACCTGTGGGGCCCGTGGGGCTTTTGAGACATACAGGTCTTGTGGGACTTGTGCGACCTGTGGGCCCTGTGCGACCTGCGGGGCCTGTAGGACCTTTGAGTGGGACCTGGAGCACCTGTGGGCCCTGTGACCCCTGTTGGATCAGTAGGGCCCCTGAAACTTGTGGGACCTGTGGGGCCTGTGGGACCTGTGACACTTGTGGGGCCCGTGAAACCTGTGCCGCCCGTTGGGTCTGTTGGACCTGTGGGACCTGTAGGACTCGCGAACCCTGTAGGACTTGTGGGACCTTTAGGACAGGCGGGGCCTGTAGGACATGTGGGGCCTGTGCGACCTACGGGATCTGCGGCCCCTGTGAAAACTGTGCGACCTGTGCGACCTGCGGGACTGGTGGGACCTATGATACTCGTGAGATAAATGAAACCTGTAGGACGTGTGCAACCTGTGCGGCATTTGGGACCGGTGGGCCATGTAGGGCGTGTTAGACCTGTGGGAACCGTTGCCCTGGAAATGTTGTTCGGCCTGTTGGACCTGTGGGACCTTTGTAACCTGTGCGACCCCGGTTCCCGCTCGAGACTTCCTCGCGATTCACTCACAGACGAGGCTCCCGCCCAAAACTTCCCCACGATTCGCTCCATTCGGGTGCTCAACTACTACGCCTGCTACAATAAGCCGATGACCTGTTCGGAATTGAACATGGGACACCATAGGAGAGGGCTCCCGCTCGAGATGTCCTCACGATTCGCTCACAAACAAAGTTCCCGCTCTAGGCTTCCTTTTGGTTCAACCCTGAGGAAGCCAAAAATGACGATTATTCCAAGGTTTGGATGACCCCGGTCGGATTTGAACGTGGCGGCGGGGACCCCATATAGAGGGTGCTCCCGCTCAAGAGGTCCTCGCGATTCACTCGCGAATGGGGCTCCCGCTCAAGACTTTCTCCATATTCAAATCCGAGAAGCCCAGAAGTGACTACAGTTACAAGGTTCAGATGCCCCACTCGGATGCGAACATGGAGGCGGGGAAAGAGAGGGATCCCGCCCGAGAATTCCTCGCGATTCGCTCACACTCGAAGCTCCAACTCGAGATTCTTCCGTAGATTCAAGCCCGAGGACCCCAAAAGTGACGAATGTTAGAAGATTTGGATGACCTCGCTCGGATTTGAACGTGGCGGGAAGGGGCCCCAGCTCCTCGCGATACAAGTTCTTCCCGCTCGAGACTACCTCGCGATTCACTGCGGAGCCACCAGAAAATTACATGTGTTGGTTCCCGCTCGAGACTCCCTCCAGATCCACTCACAAATAAGGCTCCCGCTCATGGCATCTTCCAAATTCGGGCCTGAGGGGCCACAAGGTAACAACTGTTACAAGGCTTGGATGACCCCGTTCGCATACGAACGTGGATGAGGGCACGGCAACGGGCACTCCCGCTCGAGACTTCCCCGCGGTTCACTCAAAAACAATGTTCCCTCTCGAGACTTCCTCCAAAGTCAGGCCTGAAAAAAGTGACGGCCGTGACACGGTTGGGATGGCTTTGCTCGGATAATTACGAGCACGGAGGTGGGGACCCCATGAAGAGGTGCTCCGACTCGAAACGTCCTGGAAGCCCACTCACAAACGAGGCTCCTGGTCGAAACTTCCCCACGCACGAACGTGTGAGTGAGCGCGTTAGTGTACGAGCGAGCGCGATGCTACTGGTGAAGACAAGCACCGTCCTCGGGCTCACCGCGCGCGCGACGAGGCCCTCATCCCTCTCTGCGCAGCACTCCTCGACGTCGGGCTTCACCACGTGGAGCTCCTCCTCCAAGTCATCGAGCAGCTCCGAGCGGGGTTGGCTCAGCCCCCCAGCGGCTCCTGCCCCGCGACGCTGGCGGCGCCCCCCTCCGAGGCTGCAGCGGGCCCCGGGCGGGGAGCGGCGGGAAGGGTCTCGGCGCCGCCGCGCGCCACTCCGCCGGGGTCGGGCCCGCGGGCTCTCAGCCTCCGTCGCACCGCTCGACGTGGTCGGGGCGCGGCCACCTCCAAGTCGCCCGCGTCGGCCGCGACCTCGCGTCCCAGCGCTCTGTCCACAATGCCCCATCGAGACGACGAACCAGGCCAACGAGCAGCAGCCCCCAGGCAGCTTCGGCATGGTCATGGTGTTGGCGGGCACGGCGCTTCGCTTCTTGATGGCGCTGTGGCGAAAATGGTGGAGAGGTTGGACATGCCACGTCTCCGTCGTGTGCTGCGAGGGCGGTGACGAGGTCACGAACATTGGCATAGCGGAGGTGGAGGGCTACCCCGTTCTGATGCCCTGCGACGCTTTCGACTCCCCATGGGGCCTGGTTGAGATCCGATCGTGCACGGGCTTTTGATCTACGAGATCATGTACACCACGCTTTTGATCTACAAGATCATGTACACCACGTTTCTCAGTTTTGTGTTTTTCCAAAGCAGGTTTGCTTAGCCTCACGGCTCGCGATGAGGGATGAGTATGTCGAGAAACTCCATACTACGGGTACTGCGGCCGCTTGTGCGAACGGCACAAGTGTGGGCCCTTTTACTGATATGATGGTCGGGCTCTCCAGCGATCCCCTATACGGGGGTGGCGGCAAGGGAGGCTCGAAGAGAACGGCACGCCGATCGGATCAAGCGACTGTCCTCCAGGGGCTGGTGAAGGCGGTCAGCGCGATCCAGCAGCACATAGGCTTGAAGCAGGAGAGCCCAGCTTCAGCCTGGCTAGGGCCTGACACGACGAAGCAGTCTGTCACGAAGCCCAAGCCGAATAAGAAAGTGAAGAACACGGACATCCAGATCGTCGAGCGCCTGCGGGGTCTCATTGGGTATGTGGACGCTGCATCAGGTGCTGAGAGGCAGGCCATCACGACTACGGTGGTCTGCAACAAGCTTCGGGAACTCATCGCGACCTTCAGCGCGGCCAAGGCCGACAGCCCGCTGGAGGACACGACGACAACGACGATCCCGACGACACCATCAGAGCGACTGGTTGCTGAGCCCTGGGGGACTGCGGCCATCGTAGCCGCGGGCCAGGCTCGCACCAAGCTGGAGACGAACACCGAGCCGCTAGTTATCTTATCCACGTCCGACGCGGAGTTCACAGCGGCGGAGCAGATCCGCAGAGCTTTCGGCAACAGGACGACTGTCACGCATGTGGTCTTGGACCCCGCTGGTGAAGATTATGTCCTCCTCCACGGCCTGAAAGGGCCCAAGAAGATGAGAGCCCGCATCGCCTACCACGGCTCGGACTCTCCGAAGCGCGCTGGGCTAGACGCGGCCATCAAGGATGACGAAGTGGTGCAGCATGAGAAGTTGACCCTGGTGGGATATCGCATCACTGCGGTGCAGGAGCTGACGGACGAGACCTTGTACCACCAGGTCTACAACCAGCCCCAGGCCCTCCCCACAGTGGTGTTGGGAGAAGCTGCGGCTGCGCAGATTGCGCGCACGCGCGGGGCCATCGCATACGAAGCGGGAACAACGCGCGTGGGGACGATCCCCAAGAGTTTCGAGCCCAAGTTGAGCGAGATTGTTCCGCCGCTGGGTGGTTTTGTTCTGAAGCAGGCTTCCTCCACAGCGCCGAAGTGGTTTACTCTGAAGGAGGAGGAGACGCCGAAGGATTACATCAAGAGAGTTTATGGCTTGTTGAAAGATCAGTGCAATCAGCTTGTCGATCGGCCCTTTGGGGAAGCAAAGCTGGGAGCCATGACCCAGATCTGCGCCCCAGGGATGCTCGAGCTCACGAAGTACTACGTCAAGCACGCCCTGCCGACCTGGACGACCCCCCAGCACGTGGCGGACTGGGCGACGGAGCGAGGGTTTCTGCGAGTGCAGGAGCCAACGAGAGCTGGGCCGAGGGCCTGGCTTTTCTTTGCTGAGCCGCCGCAGGGAGTTGCGGCGACGAGTTTTGCTTTCAAGAGTGGCGCGCTGATCACGAAGGCGGCGAGGCCTCAGACACCAGCACGGCAGAAGCCCAAAGAAGGTCAGACATCCACGACACGCAGTGCATGGGGCGCTGCCAAGCCGAGGGTGCAGAACATCGATGAGGAGCCAGTGGAAGTACCAGCGTCGGCGGCCACGAAGACGGGAGCCACGACGAAGGAGGCTACTGGAGGAGCGGCTTCAACGAAGGAGGAGACCAAGATCGAGACCAAGGAGGAGCCCAAGGCGGAGTCACGCTCCAAGT